CCTCCAACCTCCATAGGTTCCGCTCCTCCTCCTGGCGGAGGCGTGGTTGCGCACGCGCTGCTTCTCTGGGAAGGAAGGAGGAGCCCCTGGCTGGTTCGCGCCCTCCACGCCCTTCGTCCCTGCTCCACGGACGTTCTTCCAGCCGCACCCCCACCGCCAGCGCCCTCTGAACGATCTCCTGCGTGGTCCGGGGTCTCCCCCCGCGCAAATTCATCTTGAACCGAGCCGTGCAATCCCTCCCAAAACAGGTCTCTTACAGGAGCCGAATCTCTGTCCCATTCCAGAGCACTGACCAAAGCGAAATAGCGGGCCTGGTACTGCCTTACGCTGGCCCTCCCTTGCTTCAGTCCATGTATCTGCTGCCGAGCAAGATCCACGTCAATGCTTGATAAAAGCACCCATCCATCGCTTTAATAAAGGCATCCGCATTTTGGAGCGCCGGATCCTTATCTCTCCACAAATTGCGCAGCCATGCTTTAGCATCTCCATGCAAATGGGACATGATGAATCCCACCTTCTCTTGCTCATCTCTAAAGTCTTTGTCCAGCAGTTGCAGTGCACACATTACATCTGCTCTAAAGTTGGGGTACTGTTGCAAATTCCCATCGAAGTGAGAGACCAGACCGCCTGTTCGTCTCCCCAACCCAATCCTCCGGTTTGGGTGTCAGTTGCCCTTGCTTCGTAAGCACTTCCAACCTGACCTGGAGATCCCTGTAGGCGGCAGCTGCGTCCTCCTCTCTCTTCCTGGATGCAAGAGCCTCGGCATTCAGTCGTGACACTGCTTCTCTGAGTTCCGCTATCTGCTGTTCGGCCGTCATATTGTCTGCCTTTCGTGAGCTCGCTAGTAGGCACCCGCTTTCTCTCCTCTCCGCGAGGCTGTAGATGCCCACAATTTAATGAGACGGAGCTTACTGTCAGAGCTGCTTCCAGATCCTAGCTCACAGAGGATCACGCTAGCCAGCGATCATTAAACAAAAGTCTTTATTGAGTTACAGTTTCCATTCTCAAACTGCTGCGTGCAACTCTACGTCTCATGGTTAGACCGGCGAAGCTCCACCTGAGTCTCCGCCCCTTGTACACCAACTTAATATCCTAGCCCTGCTCCACCTTTTCCGCCTGACTGTTCTTCTCTGGGTCCCTCTGCCCCCTGGGGTCTCTTCTTTCCGGGATTCCTCTGACGCTGACGCTGACGCTGACCCCTGACTCTTCTCCCTCCTTTCGGCGGGCTTTAGGACCTGGCTCCCTTCCGGGCTGCCTACTGTGCCACCTTCCTGTGCATTTGAACTTGCGCGCGCGCCCAACCTTCCACCTTCCGTCTGACCGTTTCTTCGCTCCCCGATGGAGGTGTGGCCACCCTGACTCGTGCCCTCCCCCTGTTGTGAGCTGCCAGCGCTTGATCCCTGGCTCCCTTCCTCTTCCCTGCTCTCTGGCGGTGACGCTGGTCCCGATTTCCAACTGCTCCCCTCTGAGTCCCCTCTGGCTCTATCTTCCTGGGGCGTCCCCCTAGGCTCCCCCCCTTGCCCTGGCCCCTGGTGCTCCTTTCTGTGAATCTTCTGATTCACTGGAAAGACTCGGAGATCTCGGGTCGTCGTCATCACTCATCTTTTCTTCTGCCTCCTCCCCCTCGCTCTCTGTTTCCTCCCTTGCCCTTGCCTCTGCTCCTGAACCCCTGACACATACCTTTTATATTACATATTACATATTACATACACACAAAAGCTCTCCTCTGCAGCACCTTGCTTTTTTGTAACGGAAGTTTGCAAAGTGTCCAACAGTTGTCTTCTCCTTACAAGCAGGCCCTAGTGCCTTTTAAAGTAAAACAACAAAAAGGACAGTACTAGCACCCTAAGGACTTGACCAATTACGGTGTGAGCAGAGTTTGCTTCACCAGATGCCTCGTTCTTGGTAATCCACAAAAAACTTGTGCAATAATATATTCGCTAGCTTTTAAAGTGCTACTGGGCTTAGAGCTGCAGGCAAGACCCCTCTGCTGTCCAAAATTTTCCTGCTCACCTTGATGCTTCCTAGGGGGTCTCCTCCCTCTCCATCAGGGCCAGATTTAGGTTTGATGAGGCCCTAAGCTACTGAAGGTAACAGGGCCCTTTATATGTCCAGCTGTCCTTTGTCAACAACAATTTGACGCTGTTTTTTGTGTTGAATATATGCTAGATGGTAATTTATGGACCTAATAGGCAACCAGTCCATGCAGAATGTAGGGACCCTATATATAGAAATGAGCAAACCAGTGATATTTTAGGCAGCAGGCTAGCAGGTGGGGCCCATGACTTACATCATAGGAGCCTATGTAACACAAAACACTGTTGCTGTATGTAGGTTTTATTTGATTTTTTTAAATCTTATATTTTGGAAATGTACATCCAGTTTTCCCCCCTAAGTTATAGCTTGTTTAGCTTATACGTAAATCCGGCACCGCTCTCCATAGAGGGCAGGGGTGTCCTAAAAAGAGATTTTGCTGAGGCTTTCATAGAATTGTTGAATTGTATAGTGCGAAGGGACCCTGAAGATCATCAAGTTCAACCCTTGGTGTTATCAGCACCATGCACCAACCAACTGAGGCCCCGTTTCCTTTTCTTTTAGGGAGAATTTTGGTAAAACAAAACGTAAGCCCCCTTGCATGGAAATCATAGCAAAGGCCCATCTAGTCCAGTGGCCAACCAGATGTTTCTATCAAAGCCTGCAGCCCCCTCCTGTTGCTTGTCTTCTTGCTGGAGGACTTCAGTGGTAGACTGCCTCTGAGCCTGGAGGCTCTATACAGCTGTTGATAATTGCCATAGATATCCTCCTCCTCGTCTCCATGAATTTGCACTATCTCCTTTCTGCCCCTCCAAGCGATTAGTCCTCGGCACATCTTGTGTGTGAGAGATCCATAAATTAATTCCATGTTTCCACAGTCTCTCCTTAATGTTCCCCATCAATGATATTGGATGACCCAACGTTCCCGTATTAGATGAAAGTAGAGAGCTGTTTATACCTTCAAGCGCCTGTGTTTGGGGGATCTCAGGGTATAATCTGAATGTATATGTAGGGTTGCCTAAACTGTTGAGTTTTGGGGGGAAAGCCGCCTCCGAAAATAGTGTTTTTAAGCTTTTGGAGCTGTTTCTGCTGCTTTTCCCATCACGATGCCATACACTCGGGTTTTCCCTGACATTTTGCTGATTCGACAAAGTTCCCCCCTGACAAAGTTCCCCCCCGACGTCATTTTTATACCCGAAAACCAGGACGTGTCAGGAATTTTGCTGACGTATGGCAAGCCTGTGTATATGAGGCCACCACTTTGCTGAAGGTAAGCAAGTTTATTGACCATTCATCCTGAATTGCTTACACTAAACTTACACAGAGGTTAGACTATGTCTGGTCTTTATTGAGCATTCCTTTTTATTTGTGGATAAGTTACACAACAATGAGCATTCCTCCTGATCCGGGGTGTTTATTTGTCTTCTGGTTAGTCAGTTGCTCATTCCACACACTTCAACACATTTTCCCATCCCTTTCCAAACCACAAAAGTCTGATGATTATTATTTTTAGTGGCTTTGTTGCTTTACAGTGACAGAGCCCTTGAAGCCATTCCAAATGCACAAACTTAAATTTCTGGTATGTGCTAAAATTCCACCTGTCCCCACAAAACAAGCAAGCAAAACCCACCGAGAGTTTTTAGACTACCTGGGTCTAGTCAGTGCTTAGATGGATGACCCTGAAAACCACATCTATGGTGATTTGGGTTCCATGATGGAAGAAAGATCAACATCCTATACCCTTTTAAAATGTGGCTTTTTGGGGGCGGCGGCGTATTACAGTGGTACCTCAGGTTACATACGCTTCAGGTTACATATGCTTCAGGTTACAGACTCCGCTAACCCAGAAATAGTACCTCAGGTTAAGAACTTTGCTTCAGGATGAGAACAGAAATCATGCTCTGGCAGCGCGGCAGCAGCAGGAGGCCCCATTAGCTAAAGTGGTGCTTCAGGTTAAGAACAGTTTCAGGTTAAGTACAGACCTCCGGAACGAATTAAGTACTTAACCTGAGGTACCACTGTATTGGTTTACTGTTTTTATTTTTATTTTATATATTGTGATCGTGATCTTTTTTGTGAACCGCCCTGATACCTTCGGCTATAGGGTGGTATATAAATTCAACAAATAAATAAATAAACAAATAAAGATGGGATTTAAATGTAAGGGAATGAAAGGGGGGGGGGAATAAATGCACAAATAACTTTACAGCTGCACGACTGGTGCAAATTCAGCTGGTGTGCAATTGACCGGCTGCGTATGGATGCTTCACCTGATGAATTTCTGCCTGTCCTGGGTGTTGGAATAAACAGGCGGCAACCTGAAACTTTTTTTGGGGTGGGAAGGGAACGCTTTTGTTGCTTCCCGCTGTGACAAGAAGCCGGGTCTACCCATGTGCTGCAGCTAAACAAGCTATAGCTTAGGGCCCCTCTCTCTGGGGGGCCCCCAAAAAATTTAAAGGAAAAAAACCTGGATGTACATTTCCAAAATATAAGATAAAAAACAAATAAAATAAAACCTACATACAGCAACAGTGTTTTGTGTTGTGTAGGCTCCTGTGATGTAAGTCATGGGCCCCGCCTGCTCGCCTGCTGCCTAAAATATCACTGCTTTGCTCATTTCTATATATAGGGTGCCTACATTCTGCATGGACTGGTTGCCTATTAGGTCCATAAATTACCATACAGCATATGTTCAACACAAAAAACAGCGGCAATTTGTTGTTGACAAAGGACAGCTGGACATATAAAGGGCCCCATTACCTTCAGCAGCCTAGGGCCTCATCAAACCTAAATCCGGCCCCGGCTGCAGCGCTGCCCAGGTGCGAGGAGGAAAATCCAGGAACCTTCTGTCCCGTGTGTCAGTTCCAGGCCGGAACTGGGACACGGGCCTCGGCGGGAGCGAAGCCTCGACGGACCGCAGCGTCGGGCAGGGAAGCCCGCCCGCGTTTCCCGTACTTCCGCCCTGCAGCAAGATGGCGGCGGGCAGCGGGGGTTCCGGGCACCGTCGGCGGCGCGGGGCGCTGCGGCTGCTGATGCGGGTGGGCTCGGTGCTGCTCACGCGCTTCCCGTTCTGGCACTGCCTCAGCGGCCTCCTCCTCAACGCCGAGCGCGCCGACGCCCGCCGGTGAGCCCGCGCGGCCGGGAAAGCGGTGGCGGCGTCGAGGGCGCTTCTGAGCATGTGCAGAGGGCCTTCTGCGCCTTGACTCCCCGGCGAGTTGTGGGGTCGGGGAAGGAATCCAGTATTTGCTTTTAGGAGGTCATGAGCTTAGGGGGTTTGTGGGGTGGGGAAAGGAGAAGGGTGGGGAGCCCTCCAGGGCCTTCACAGAGAGGGGTTAGGTGGGGGAAGAACCATAGAATTGTAAAGTTGGAATTATTATTATTATTATTATTATTATTATTATGTGAACCGTCCTGCGACCTCCTGGTATAGGACGGTATATAAATTCAATAAATATTATTATTATTATTATTATTATTATTATTTGAACCACCCTTATTCTGTGAACCGTCCTGAGGCCTCCCGGTATAGGGCAGTACAGTGGACACTCGAGTTGCGAACGTGATCCATGCGGGAGGCACGTTCGCAACCCTCAGCGTTCGCAACTTGCAGCGCCGCGTCTGCGCGTGGGCGGGTTGCGATTCGGCTCTTCTGCATATGCACAAAGTGCAATTTAGCACTTCTGCGCATGCGCGACTGCTGAAACCCAGAAGTAACCCGTTCCGGTACTTCCGGGTTTCAGCGTATCCATAACCCGAAAAAAGGCAACCTGAAGCGTCTGTAACCCGAGGTATGACTGTATATAAATTCAATAAATGTTATTATTTTATTATTGCTATTAGTATTAGTATTAGTAGTAGTAGTACCCTGCCCATCTGTGTGGCTTCCAGCATAATGTTATAGAACTGTCTGTGTGTCTTCCTAAACACCAAAATTAACAAATGCCAGAGTTTTGGGCTATTTGTGATAGGAAAGGAGAATATAAGCTGCAAAGGAATTCCTGGGTAGCCTGGCCAAGCCAGGGCCGTTAAGAGAGCCATTGTGGGTCATTATGATAACATAATAACATAATAAACCATTAAAGATTAAGAAGCTTCTTTATGCAGGGCTAAAGGTTATATGGTTATTCCCAAGGGTACTTTCATCTAACTAACCCCTTGCAACGCAGGAATCTCCATTGAAGCATCTATTCTTCTTTGGTCGGACCACACCTGGAATACTTGTGCCCAGTTCTGGGCAATTTAAGAAGGGTGTTGACAAGATGATACAGGGTCTGGAAAGCAAGACTTATGAGGAACAGTTGAGGGAGCTGAGTATGTCCAAAAAAGAGAGGAGATTTGATAGCCATCTTCAAATATCTAAAGGGCTGTCACATGGAGGACAGAGCAAGCTTGTTTTCTCCTGCTCTGGAAGCTAGGTCCGGATGCTTTAGAGATTGCAGGTTGCCTGGAGATGAGTCATAGTTGCCACAGGCGACCATGCCGGTGGCTGTTTACAAGCCTGCAGGATGGATACCTGAACATAGCTTCCCAAGTGTATTGGCAAATGCGTGCATTTCTTGTCATGCTTGCAGATGGGAAGAGATACGGTGGAAAACTCTGGGAAAAGGAAGTAAAAGAACATGGATGTTTATATGGTTTATATGTTTATATTTGGGGTTAGCTGTCTGCGGACAAACGCCGGCTCCCTTGGCCCATAGAGCGAGATGAGCGCCACAACCCCAGAGTCGGTCACGACTGGACCTAATGGTCAGGGGTCCCTTTACCTTTACCTATATTTGGGGTAGAAACCTAGAGCTGCTGCTAGTATAGGTAAAGGTACAGGGACCCCTGAACTTTAGGTTCAGTCATGGCTGACTCTGGGGTTTCGGCACTCATCTCGCACTATAGGCTGAGGGAGCCGGCGTACAGCTTCCGGGTCATGTGCCCAGCATGACTAAGCCGCTTCTGGCGAACCAGAGCAGCGCACGGAAACGCCGTTTACCTTCCCGCTGGAGCGGTACCTATTTATCTACTTGCACTTTGACGTGCTTTCGAACTGCTAGGTTGGCAGGAACAGGGACCGAGTAACGGGAGCTCACTCCGTTGTGGGGATTTAAACCGCCGACCTTCCGATCGATCGGCAAGTCCTAGGCTCTGTGGTTTAACCCACAGCGCCACCTGTGTCCCATGCTGCTAGTATACTGACTTACTAAAACACACACACACACACAAACACATCCCCCCAAGTCCAGACTTTCAAAATAACATATCGCGGCAATGAGTTCCATAGCACTTCTAACAGTCTGTGCTTGAAATTGAATTTCCCGTGGTTTCAAAATGTTGCATTTAGCAACGCTAATTAAATCTGTGTAGCTTTGCAGCAGTTCGTACATCACGAAAAAACTTTCCATAGCTGGGTCATTTCGGGGTGGAATGATTCCTCCTGGGTCATTTTGGGGTGGAATGATTCCTCCTTGGGGATTTAGTTCTTTAAAAAACAACAACCATAGCCCTATTTTTCTCTTTCCTTTCTCCTTGTGCTGTATTTGTTTCTTCTGGGTGCCTTTGATGACTAATGTTCTACATTTTATTTCCTTGCCCAGAAAACCAGACATCCCTGTTCCATTTCTCTACTTCGACATGGGCATGGCGGTGCTGTGTGCCAGCTTCATGTCCTTTGGAGTGAAACGCAGGTGGTTTGCCCTGGGGGCTGCCCTTCAGTTGGCTATCAGCACATATGCGGCGTACATTGGAGGCTATGCGCACTATGGAGACTGGCTGAAGGTGAGAGAGAGGAGAGAGAGAGTCTTTGGCTCATTGTCTTCTCAAAAGCTGCAGTTGGAATGTACTAGATTGCAGCTGAGTAGAAGAGCGCTTGCTCTGCGTATAAAATGTCCCCAGGTTCAGTCCACAGCTTGGGAACCACCAAGGGAAGAAGGCTCAGAGCCTGGGGGGTAGTCTTGGGACGATGAAGAGGGAGAAGACTGGGAGGAAGAGGTGTCAGAAGCTGAAGAGGTAACAGGGTTTAGTGAGCGGGAAGAATCTATGGCAGAGAGAAGTCCAGAATCAGAGGCAGAAGCTGAAACAGAAGAGTGGGATGAGGGAGGCCAGGAGACTGAGATGAGTCAGGCTAGTGAAGAGTCACAAGTGTCTCCCCCTCTTGCTGTGACAATCTCCCCTCTTCTCTGGTCTCCCAGAACCAGAAGAGGCATGAAGAGGGTGGCGCAAAGACGCGCATGCAGGTGCAGTCTCTGATTGCTTAGGCAGCGGTTCTCAACCTGTGGGTCCCCAGGTGCTGTTGCACTACAACTCCCATCATCCTTGAGCTCTGGCCTTGCTAGCTAGGGGTGATGGGAGTTGTAGTTCAACAACATCTGGGGACCCACAGGTTGAGAAAGGCTGGCTTAGAGCATCGTCTCCAATAGCTTATGAGGAAGGGAACCAAACCCTGGTGTTCGCCCTGAGCGTCAAGTGGTCAGAGGCATACAGCCAAACCTCACTTGTCGAACATAATCTGTTCTGGAAGAACATTCGTTCAACAACCGAGGCATGGCTTCTGATTGGTTGCAAGAGCTGCTTGGACTCAAGCGGAAGCTATGTCGGATGTTCAGGTTCCAAAAAACATTCAAAAACCGGAGCATTTCCTTCCGGTTTTTGGCATTTGGGAGCCGAAATGTTCAAAAACGGAGCTGTTCGAGAACTGAGGTTTGACTGTACTTTTTCTGTATATGGACCTGCCCTGCATGAGTGTATAATCCTTTATATGCTATTGAAGCTATCCTACATGAATCCCAGATAGTATTTATGCATTTATATCAACTGCCCACTTTTTAAAAATCTTAAAATCTTTGCAGCAAAAGTGATCCCTGCTGCTTGCTTTCTACACTCATGTTGCTCTTTGGTCACCTCCCTTTCCAGCCTTAACACCCCTCTCCCTCCCCCCCCCCCAAATTGCTTTCTTTGCAATAAAGGACAGTGGTGAGATTAGATGTGTCCAGAGGGCTCCTCTTTGCTTCCTGAAGGACATCAGAGCAGTCTCTCTGTTGACTGGATTTAGCTTGCAGGCTGATAGTTGCCTCCTGGCGTAAGGCTGTGGCACTGAGCTTTCCTCTGAACAGATCTTCAGGTTTGCCTGAGACTGAGGATCTGCCAGAGGTGAGCAATGTGAGATGCTTTAGTTTGTGCCTATAAGTGCTGAGGGATAAAGAATGGTTTGTCTTCTAAAGTGCTTTTAGAGTAAGTACAGGATTAATTTTTTATGATGGCTTTACTCTACAGGGTATCTGCTCTGAGCCTGTGTGGATTAGGCGTTGGTTGTGAATCTAAGTGAGATAGCAAATTGGACAATGACACCTTTAATTTTCACCCCGTTTCTGCTTTCTGTCTAGCCCTTCTGGTATCAGACCATGGCCCACTTCAGAAGTACAGATCTTGGCTTAATACACCAACATATTCACAAACCTTGTGCCTGCCTGCTTTGTCGTCCTCACCTTTCCCTTCAAGATCAACCTAAGAAGTCTTCCATTAACCCACATTTCCCGTTAATGTACAAACCATTGTTTAAGATCATGGCTCATTCTGAACCCGGCAACCATAGTTTTGTGGTTTGTGGATGTATCAGAAAACTAATGGAAGGCTTCCTGGATTAGCCTCAGCAGTGTTGGGGGCTGCGTAAGGCTGGAATGCACATATGCAATGATCCTTCATGTTTATTAAGCTGGGATTTGTAGGTCCGAACAAGGCGTTTAACTGTAATCTTCCCAAAATGGTCTGTGCTAGACCAGAGTAGAAGAATGCTCTCTCCTTGCAAAAATAGCAGTGTGGCTGCTTGGGAATTTGGGTGCGCAGGATGCTGTGCCAGGAGGCAAATGTTTGCAGCTCACATGATACAGTAAGCCAGCGTATCTCTGGTTATTGTGGATTCAAGGTGTTTGGTTTGCTTTCCATTAACTTGCCTGCCTTGTCTTTTGGCACAGGTGAGGATGTATTCACGAACGATAGCCATCATTGGTGGTCTCTTGGTCTTGGCTAGCGGGGCCGGTGAGATCTACCGGCAGAAACCGCGGAACAGGTCCCTGCAGTCCACGGGGCAGGTTTTCATCGGCATCTACCTCATCTGCGTGGTACGTATGCTGTCAAATCCCAAATGTTTGGAACCCTAGATGTTGCTGGACCACAACTCGCATCACCCTCACTTTCTTTGCTTGTCTCCCTTTCCTCTTCCAGGCCTACTCTCTCCAGCACAGCAAGGAAGACCGCCTGGCCTATCTCAGTGGCGTCCCAGGTGGAGAAATTGCCTTACAGCTCCTCTTTGTCCTCTACGGGGTGCTGGCCCTGTCCTTCCTGTCTGGCTACTACATCACCGCAGCCGCTCAGATCTTGTCGGTCATCCTCCCTCTGGTCATTCTCTTCATCGACGGCAACTTGGGTTACTGGCACGATTCCCGCCGAGTCGAATTCTGGAATCAAATGAAACTGGTTGGGCAGAACGTTGGGATCTTCGGGGCCGCCATAATTTTGGCCACAGATGGCTGACATTCGACTCTGTGAGACACTGAAGCACGGTGCTTTGAAGTGGGAGTGGGGTGCATTTTTTGCAGAGGACGGAGACTCTCCCTCTTTTTTATTATTATTTATTTTTTTATCATTTTACTGCATCTTTTAAAAAAACCCACCCGTTCCTTGCTTATTGGCAGCTAAACGAAAGAGCGGGTGGTTGTTTTCAAAATCCAGAGCCATTCCTACATTTTTGTTTTCATTTCAAAGGACACCGTAGCAGCTTCCTCCTCCAAATGTTGTAGTAATTGCGAGAGTCTCTAGCGGGCTCAGGGCTGCATCAGTGAAGCTTTTGGGCTGTCATCTCATTTCAGTGGGGAAGGGGTGAATCTTTGCTTCCATGCTGGTCAATAGGTTAAAGGTAACTTTGCAAAGGTCGCTGTGACCTTGGGTGCGCCGGTTCTGGATCCCAACCCTGGGGTTGGGGTAGCCAAAGACACAGAGATCATTCGACTCATCTTTGCTCTGTATACAGATGGCGGAGGCCATTGTGGAACATGCGTTTCCTTCTAACCAGCAAGTCAGGGCTTTTGAAAGGTTCCCAGAAGTTCGTGTGAACAGACTCCTGCTTAGATGGGCTGGCTTCCTCTTTGCCTGTACCGAAGCTTTTGCAAAGCTCCATGGGCACGTGTGACATGCCAGCTACAACCAGTTAGGCAAAAACTGTTCCATTTGGAACGTAGCAACTCGGAGAAATGTCTCCCTGCCGCCATTCTTGCACGGTACGGAGTGCATACAGCTTTTGTGCACACAGGGCGTAGCTGATTAAACGGGATGGCAAACTGTTGGTGTCATCCTTGCACGGTGGGAAAAGAAGAGCTGATCCAGCGCTACCTTTTACCTGACTCCGGAGTCTTGGAGGCTGCTCTCAAAATGCTTGGTGGATGGGATTGGGTTGTTGGGGAAGAGAAGCCTGAAGTTCATTGCCCCTCACCCCTGGAAGGGGCAAGCTCAGACTTGACAATATTGGACTAGGTGGGCTGCCTAATGATCCAAGGCAGCTTTCAAGAGCTCAGAAACTCCTGCTACTTCCATCCCCCAGCATTGAGCAGGTTTTGTTCTGGAATAATTTATTCTAGGGCTGGGGATGCTGAGACCCTCCAGATTTTGCTGGACTACAACATCCATTGTCCTTGACCATTGGACACGCTTGCCAGGGCCAATGGCAGTTGGGTTTCATCTGGAGGGCCACTGCAGCATAACTTGGGAAAGGCTGAGAACGGTTCTCTCACCATGAGGGTGTGGGGTACCTTAATTTCCCAGCTGGTTATGTACAAACGCAAGCTCTTTCTCTATCTGCAAGATCATGCTTGGCACATTTTATTTATTACTTCAGGACCCAAAGGCGACACAGAACTGAATCATTGCTCCATAGTATTGGCGTCTCTCCGGATTCCCAAGTTTGTTTTCTCTTTTGAAAAGAATGAGGGGGTGGGGAAGGGGATTCTCAGCATGTTCATAAATCTTTAAAACCTAGCATAATCAGCTAAAATGGCACGTGCGCTGAAACACATTGAATTGCACTGTTATAGGGACAGGAAGCTGCTTTTGGGGTGTGGAGGCGACCTACCACCAGAACACACATTTAATCTCCCCCTGTACCTGATTAGGTTTTTCTTTGTTGACCCCAGTGCTCAAGCTTTCTGCAGTTTAATCTGCATACATGCAGTTTCTACAATGGGGATTGCACTTCAGGGAAGAGTGTGCATGAAGGGGAAACAAGAAAACCCTTGTCGGAATTGAACATCCCCATGGAATTTGGTGTGTATGTTGAGGAGGGTGGGATGTTTGTGTTTGGCTGGGGCTAGCCAGGAGTTTAAAATGCTGCCCAGCAATCACTCCTGGGAAACAATAGCCACACCATCTGTTTGGATGCAATGGTGTGTGTTTGCTTTTTAAAAAGTATCGTCTTCCATTTCGGTCGTATCCAAAGCACTCCTGTGGAGGCACTTTGGAGCTGATTGGGCTTTCTGTTCTAGGCTCAAACACCATTGAAACACGGTTGACCATACACTGCATTCCCCCTTTCCCTTATTGGCAGATAATTGCTGATGGCTGCGTCTTCCTTTTGGCTTTTTCTAAACCACACTGTGTTTATGGAGGATCAAGAAGAAAATAAAACACTTTTTCCAGTCTCCCATTTTTTATCTTTCCGTGCCTGTCCTTTCCGCTGCTTCCAAACACTCGTCAGTCTTTGAACTTCCAAACAACCCAAGTTTTAGCAGGGCTGCATGGACCAGGGAGGTTTCGGTTATGCAATGCTTGGCATCCCAGGCAGAAGCTGGCAGCTGTACGAAGCTCAGCATTTGTGCGTCATCATGTCATGCCAGCACGTTAGGCATTTAAGGTAAAGGTAAAGGGACCCCTGACCATGAGGTCCAGTCGTGGCCGACTCTGGACTTGCGGCGCTCATCTCGCTTTATTGACCGAGGGAGCCGGCGTACAGCTTCCAGGTCATGTGGCCAGCATGACTAAGCCGCTTCTGGCAAACCAGAGCAGCACACGGAAACGCCGTTTACCTTCCCGCCAGAGCGGTACCTATTTATCTACTTGCACTTTTACGTGCTTTTGAACTGCTCGGTTGGCAGGAGCAGGGACCAAGCAACGGGAGCTCACCCCGTTGCGGGGATTCGAACCACCGACCTGATCAGCAAGTCCTAGGCTCTGTGGTTTAACCCACAGCGCCACCCACGTCCCTTAGGCGTTTATGAAGCTGCCTTATATCAAGTCAGATCATTGGTCGCTGTAGCTCAGTATCACCTGTACTGACTGGCAGCAGCTCACCAGGGTTTCTGGCAGGGCATCTTCTTCAACAGCCTGCTACTGGTGCCTAAAGGTGTATAATGAAGGTGCCAGGCGAACTTCCCTGGGGGGAGCGATAAAGCGATAAAACAAACATTAAAAACTTCCCTAAACAGTTCCCTAAGGAACTGGCAGAAAGAATTCCATGATATTTATTTGTTATTTCTATACCGCCCTTCATCAAAAGATCCCAGGGCATATGATGGAATAAAACAAGATAAAATGCAAGTACAGTGGTACCTCGGGTTAAGTACTTAATTCGTTCTGGAGGTCTGTTCTTAACCTGAAACTGTTCTTAACCTGAAGCACCACTTTAGCTAATGGGGCCTCCAGCTGCTGCCGCACGATTTCTGTTCTCATCCTGAAGCAAAGTTCTTAACCCGAGGTACTATATCTGGGTTAGCGGAGTCTGTAACCTGAAGCATCTGTAACCTGAGGTACCACTGCAAATAATTGAACCAAAATAATAACCCCTCTTCCCTCTTCCCGCTGTATGTCTTTAGGTGTTTCAACTAAAAATGCATTTCTGGCTGCTTGGTCAGTCTTGAAATACAAGTGCGGTGACCAGGAATTGGCACTAGGTGGTCCCCTCTACTAATCTATAGCAGATTTTTATTTTTACAGCTCTGGGTGTGCGCAAAGGGGAAGATTGCATTGAATGCATGCCCAGTTCAGTTCAATAAAGCGTTCCCACGGCTAAATGCAGTATTTCCACTGCTTATCCTTTCTAAACAATTTCTTTAAAATGTGCAAGTTCGAATAGCAGGGCAGACAGGATATATAAGCATTTAAAATGAAATAAGAGGATCCAAATATTCCTGGAAGTCTGATACTACTATGACTCCAGAATCATTTCCTAGCCTGTACTTGTGCTTGTCTAGTATTCTGCATCTCTGCAGAGGCAACGCAGCTTCACATCTTTGCTGGACTGAGCAAACCAAATATTGGGGAAAAGAAGACTTATGCTGGGGCCAAGCCAAGGAAGGCTGGGAAAGAGCCCTGCTTTTTGCCACCATGACTTCTCTTTGCTCAGTTTTTCCAGGGAGCAACAAGCAGTCACGAAGAAAATACTGAGCTAGATAATGGTCTGACTCTGCATGAAGGACCTTCCTATGGCACCATGGGTGGCACTGTGGGTAAAACCTCAGTGCCTAGGGCTTGCCAATTGCATGGTCGGCGGTTTGAATCCCCGCGGCGGGGTGAGCTCCCGTCTTTCGGTCCCAGCTCCTGCCCACCTAGCAGTTCGAAAGCACCCCTAAGTGCAAGTAGATAAATAGGGACCGCTTTCTAACGGGAAGGTAAACGGCGTTTCCGTGTGCTGCGCTGGTGCTGGCTTGCCAGAGCAGCTTCGTCACGCTGGCCACGTGACCCGAAAGTGACAGCGCTGGCCCCTGGCCTCTTAAGTGAGATGGGCGCACAACCCTAGAGTCGGACACGACTGGCCCGTACGGCAGGGGTACCTTTACCTTTACCTTTACCTTTACCTTTATGGCACCTATTGGTCCAAGAATCCTGCATCCGGCCATTTCTCAGGGACTGAAGAATGTTGGTGTATATCATAAGCTCATTTCTCCACATTGTCACATCGGTTTGTAGAGTTTTGTTATAGACTCCTCATGAAAATTCATTGGCATTTCAGCAGAATTTTCTTCTAATTTTTGCATGCAATTTCTTCTTTTTTTTGCAAAACAATGTTCCCTAACATAATGCATTTTCATAGGTTTTAATTAATACAAGTTGTTTTTAATTAATATATACACTTTACCCCAGTATACGCTCCCTCCCCCTTAGTATACATCACTGGGCTGGAAAACTGCATTGCAAAATTCAGAGAAGTGTGGTTTTCAAAGGGTGGCTGTGTTTCAATTCACTTATTTTGTTTTTGAAAGTGTGAATTAGGCTTGCCTTGAAATGTGAGTGGAAATAAAGGTCTTCCCCACCCCTATTTGCATTCCCATCCCAGCAAAATACGTCCAAATGAACGTTGTGAAATTGAGACATTGTCTACTACAAACCAAAGCAATCTATTGGTATAGCATTGTCCTCTGGCTCCTTAATGTCTATTATGGCACAAAGGCTTTTATGATACCCACATCTTCGCATTGCTCTAAATGGTTCTTCTCTTAGTTTTCCAGAGCTTTGTCAAGATGTAATAACTGAGCTTCCTGGTGCAGCCTGGGCTGGGAGAATAGGGGAGTGTGGACCAGCTTTTGGTTTCTGTCAGTTACAGGATAAATTGATGGCGTTAACCAGCATGGAAACAATGACTAATCCAGGATAAAAACCAAAGGCAGTGTGTCCTCTTTGTCCTGAACAAAGCAGCCTGTTTCAAACATGCGTCGTGAGGTAAGCATCAAACAATGACTTCTGCGGCATTCTGGGTAACACAGTCTTGTCCCGTCGTTCATTTTTGACAGGTCCCTTTCACCATTTTGCGTGGTGAGGTTTTGTTTGTTTTTGTGACCGTGTTCCTTGCGTCAATATGCTGGGTGGAAAATGGACAGATCCAAGAACTGGGTTGTGGTGTTTTTTTTAAGGGGTGTGAAAAGGAGCATGGCTGGATGGCGACTATATAGAGTAAGCATTGTCGGAGCAATTGAGTGCTTCGTTTTTAAGACCACCGAAAGAATTTGGAGAAGTGCTACAAACGTGGTTTCTAGACCTTCCTTCAGTCTGTGGAACGAGCAAGAGAAATAACTCGGCCCGATTTGCCCAGGTATTTGACTCTCCAGATGTTTCTGAACTACAACTGCCATCAGGCCTAGCAAACATCTTCTTTCCTCTTCTTCTTTGGCAATCACTCTTAGCGAGTAAGATTATTTTCCATAAATACTGTTTTAAAAGTGAGTCCGTAAGTGACTGTGGAGGCCAATTTGGATCCACACGTCCTTCCACAGTGGGGACATAGGTTTCTGGGCAGGAGTTGATCATGGTGAGGGTTTGCCAAGCGTGCCTTCCTCTTAGCACGTTTCTCCCTTTCGTCCTGAGTTTTAGCATCTTCAAAGCCCATGACACCTTTGGTAATCTCCAACTGGAGCACTCGCAGGCGTGTTTCCCAGTTGTCAATGCCTATACTACATTTTTAAAGATTTGCCTTGAGAGAGTCTTTAAATCTCTTTTGTTTACCTCCAGCATTACGATTTCCATTTTGAAGTTTGGAATAGAGTAGTTGCTTTGGAAGACGATAATCAGGCATCCGCACAACATGACCAGTCCAACAAAATTGATGTTGAAGAATCATTGCTTTGACAGTGGTGATCTTTGCTTTTTCCAGTACACTGGCATTAGTTCACCTGTCTTCCCAGGTGATGAGTAAATTTTTCCGGAGATACTGTTGATGGAATCTTATGAGGAGTTGGAGATGGCATTTGTCCATGTTTCACAAGCATACAGTACGGTTGGCAGCCAATGTCCTGCCAGTAAAATTCAATTGCCATTCTAGTCAGTTGCTCTTCAAGGAAACAGGTGTGTCTGTGTGTGTCTTTTGTCTTGTGCAGCAAGATGTCTGGGGCCGGCCCAGAGTTGAGTCAGCTCCCTGCTGCCTGAAGGCAAGGCCATTGGCCTTATGTGTGGAATCTTTGGTCTTCCAAATGTTGCCGGACTCCAACTCCCATCAGCCCCAGAAAACATGGCCAATAGCCAGGCATGATGGGAGTCATGGTTCAGCGCCATCTAGAGGGCCAGAAGCTTGCCACACCGGCTAGTAGGGATGAAGATTAATTTCTTTACATGCTTACCTGAGAGAAGGTTCGCCACACCTTGCCTCATGCCTCAACCCACCAGAAATGCCACGTAATATGTGCGCCCTATACGAACGATGCGAAATGGGATATGCCCAGATAGCTCAGGTAAGCGAAATAAACCTCATTTATGTATTTGAGTCCACCGCTCTCTATTATTATTATTATTATTACATTTCTCGAAGTGAGTTCTCGCGAACAATTGCAAACACTTTCTCCCCCCCCCCGAAATAATTTTTATTTGGTTTTACAAGTATAAATAAATAAATAAATAAATAATACCCTGCCCATCTGGCTGGGTTTCCCCAGCCACTCTGGGCAGCTTCCAACAAAAGATTAAAAACACATTAAGACATCAGTCATTAAAAACTTTCCTTCATTTGGAAATAAATTTCTGATAGGATATCTGCAGGAAGCCCTCTCCAGCAGGGTGCCGTGACTGACTGGGAATTTAAGGGCCGAGGCAATCTTTTAGGTACCCTGATCCCAAACAATATAAGACCTTGTAGACCAGCACTAGGAACCTGAATTTTGCTAGGTTTCCTGTTGCGGGAGGAAAGAAATGTTGAATTCTGCTCCATAGTGGGGAGAATCATAGGCTGTTCTGCTTCGATTTTTAAGGGCGGGGAGAATCTGTGCGTTCTTACTGGTCAAAGAGAAGGTACAATGTTATTTTTGACTCAAGCTGGCCTCTTTTATTTCTCTTTCTCCCCGAAATAATCCAAGCAGATGTTCCTAGGAGACTGC